ATAAACTAATCTTGATATATTTATTTAATTGATATATCAATTTTTATTATATTTGAATTTCGTTATATCAAATCGATATATTAAAAAATTACACGGAGGTGAGAGTTTATCTCTCTAAAGCTTCGGAGCTCTCTAGGGCGGTGGGCGCTAGGGTTTCGTTTTCCGATTTCGAATCTTTCGAAGATCGGTGGTATTGGTGAGGTAAAGATGATCGAAGGAGGTCGACTGCAGACGGAGATGACTGAAGTCGGTAAGCACGGGATTAGAGAACAATTTCACGCAAATAAGGAGAGCCGAGCAATGCAAGATACGGACAAATTGGTGATTGTTATGCTGACGAGGGGGCGGTCGAGTTGGAGGTGAGGTGCTTTGGTGCAACATACTCGGTTGAACGAGGTGCGACTGAGAGGTTGTAGGTCCATTCCAATATACTCCTCTGCCACAGCCAGTGATAGAGATGATAATAAAAAAAATCATTTTAAACTATCTTAACTTTATAGTTCTTACTAATGATGTCTCGTATGACTCTCAATGAGCAACTTTAATAGATGTAGTGATTATTTTGAATTATGAAAAATTGTATTTTAAATAAAGAAATAATTCATAATTATGACCAAAATAGGGATAGTGGATAAAAAGGTGACTCCTCTACTTTTGGGAGTTATAATTATGTTTTATTTTATATCAAAATGACTATAAAAGTGTGCTCATAACAATTTAGTGACATTTCTGTCCATAAATATTTTTTTGAGAAGCTTTTCCTTATAGTCACTTTGATATAATAAACATAATTATAGTCACTAAAAAGTAATAAATCATATTTTTATGTATTATCTTTATTTTGGGCATATATAAGAAACTATTCATTTACCCGATACGGATTATTTTGTATTAAATAGATCAATGCTTCATAATTATGACCAAAATAAGGATAATGCATAAAAATGTGACTTGTTAACTTTTGGGAATCATAATTATGTTTTCTTCTATATCAAAGTGACTATAAGGACGTACTCATAGCAAATTTAATGACATTTTTGTCCACACATATTTATTTGAAACATTTTTCCTTGTCATCACTTTGATGTGAATTTAAATTAATTATAGTCACTAAAAATTAATAAGTTATATTTTTATCTATTATCCTTATTTTGTTCATATGTTAGGAATTATTTAATTATTTAATACGGAACCGTATGTTGGAAAATATGAAGGTTGTTTAATAAATGTTTAGAGTCTTTTGAATTATATACTCCGTATGATATATTGGTGTCACAAGAAAGGTCGTAAAAATTATTATTTTTGATATTTTTTTTATAAAAAATAAATAATAGATTAAAAAGTTATAACACTTTAAAGAAAATGGTGTTTTTTTATAGCAACCTCCCTTTTGGCGTTGAAATGACATATTAGAGACTTGAAATTGCCACATGGCATTTGTGTGATAGAGGAGTAAATTGTGGTGAGAAAGACATCTAAATTATTTTAAGGATATAATTGTCTTTTAAGGAGCTATTTTTTTCTTATACATAGTATATAAATAGATAAGTTAAGTAGTAACTTTTCCACATATTAATGTAGCTAAAAAATGTTGGGAAAAAATGTTTCTCAATCCTTACTCATGTAATAGTACTTAGTACTTGAACACTATATAAAGGTGGAAGGAAGTCAAATAGTGGAAAGAGAAGACTAAAAAGTGACAAGTCAAAGACAATGTTGAAACGGAAAGAAAACAAAGACTACCAACTAAGAAATCAGAGTCAATGTTAAAATAGAATAGATAAGATGGTGTAATTGTGTAACAATAGTGACTGTTAAGGAATTTATTCCACGTTGGCTAACAACGCCCTGTGTTCCAAAATAAGGGTTCTAGTTTGCCATGACAAGCTTAAGACAACACAAGTGTGTGATTAGGATTTATTATGAAGAGAGAGATATCTGGTGAATTGCGTGATTATTTTCATAAAAGAAAATGTGAACCTTCTTTTGGGAAGGCGGGAAAGATAAAATGGCAAACCAATGTACAAATCTTTGGGGCAGTCTTAATCTTAATAGTAACTAGTAAGTGTGACAAAACCTACAAATTCCATATTAAGATAAACTAACAAAATGTGTCAAGCTTCTTCCAAAAAAGAAAAGAAAAGAAAATGTGTCAAGCCATGATGTAGCATTCAACAGCCCATATATCAAAGACTTATACTCTAGGTAGTGCAAAAGATATCACATGGAATCAAGGAAAAGAACATTCACCTTAATTCTAACCCCAAATGTTAATAGGAAATGGGAAATGTCCTTACATAGGACTATAGAAGCACAAAATAATGACATTTTTCTTTACATAGAAATGCAAATAAAAATAGAACAAACTATAAAAGATTACCCCAAATACCCTTTTTTGTGCAGTTTCCAACACTCAATAGCAACAACTTCCAGACTTCTGCTAGCAGCCCAACGCTGCCGGGTAGCCACTGCCGCCGTCGGACCTCCAGTTACTGCTGGAAAGTCTGCAAGTCGCGGACCTCCCAGCAGTGTTGGACAATCACTGGTCTAACCAGGCAACCACCACTAAACCCTAAGAGGAGGGCTGGCAAAACATCAGAAATGTTAACCGAGTCCAAGAAGGATGGATAAACCATAAACAGTAACGACTCATTAAACTGACTAAATTGTTTGTGCTTCTTTATTATGGATTAACAGTCAATCAATGCAATTTTCGACACGATTTTCACCATGGGTCATCTGGAAACAATCTATGTTGTGCTTTAAAACAAGGTTGCGTACATTCGACCCCCTCTTACCCCACCGTAGGTGGGAGCCTTTGCGGCACTAGAGTAATTATGAAGATGATGATCATTACGTTTTACAAATTAAGGACCATATACCTGCTTGAGGAATATAACCTAGGTAGACTTGTTTTTGGAAAGAGGGTAAGTTTTAGCCCTATCAAGAACATTTTTCTCATTGGAAATAGCTTATAAAATAATTTAACGGTACAAGATAGGTACACGATAGTTTACCGATTTATCATTTTAGCCCTGTGATTCAATGTAGTTCCATTGATTCGTTTTGTGTCTCGGGTACGTTTTGTTTTTTTAGCAACATATATTACTATAAAGAGCAGTTTGTGAGATTGTTTTGAGTTAACTGGACTATAAAGATCAGGTTTTTGGTTTTTTTACGTTGAATATGATGTGGTTGTATTGAGTCAAGAGTCGTCACTTGGACTAACGACTTTTGTAATGGACAGAAGAATCGTCACTTCAAGTGGCGGTTTTCCTTAACTATGATTAACTCTTGTAGTATTTTATGAATTATTTTTAATCAAACAATATTTTGGTAATTATTTACTCCCTCCGTCCCCTTTTAAATGGGACGGGAGATAGTGGCACGGGTTTTAAGAAAAATGAGTTTGTGTGGTTGATATTAATTGATAAAGTAAGAATAAAGTAAGAATGATTTTGAGCCACACAAAGTTTATCAAATAAGGTATGAGACAATTAAATAGGGACATCCCAATATGGTAAAACGGGACATTTAAAAGGGGACGGAGGGAGTATTTAATTAGCATTATTTCAGAAATTAAAAATACCTAGTGAGCATGTGTTATTGTTTTTTTTGGTAAAGAGCATGTCTTAGGAGGCGTTTACTTCACCGGTTATTAAACGGTGCTTATTAAGACCCGTGTTAATAAGCGGTGCATAAAATAAACAATGTTGTAAGACTGTGTTTACTTCAAACAGTTTAAAACACCGCTTAACATTAAAATGTCCAAAATAACCCTATACATATATACACACACAAACATTCATGAACACAAGTATATAATATAAATGTGTACCCATACCCCCTAACCCCTTACCCACCCTACCTTACTCTGACCCCACCTACCCCCTACCCCTACCCTACCTACCCGACCCTACCCCTACCCGATCCCACCCTACCGCGACCCTACCCCCAACCCCATAGGCCCCTACCCCCATACCCCCTTACCGCATCGACCCCACCCTGACCCCACCTTACCCTACCTTACCCCAACCCCCGCCCCTACCCCTACCCTACCTTACCCCGATTACCACTACCCTACCCAATCCCACCCTACCCCTACCCTACCCGACCCCACTCTGCCGCAACCCTACCCCCGACCCCACCGCACCTACTCTGCCCCTAGCGCCTCTATCACATTGGCCCCACCCCGACCCCACCACCCGACCCCACCACCCCAACCCCACCACCCTAGGTATAGGGTGGGGGTAAAGGGTGGGGTCGAGGTATATGGTGGGATGGGGTAGGTGGGGTAAGAGTATGGTGGGGTGATTGCGGTCAGGTAGTGGTAGGGTGGGTCGGGTAGGTAAGGTAGGGGTGGGGTAGGGTAGGTGGGGTAGTGGTAGGGTGGGTTCGGGTAGGTAGGGTGGGGTTCAGGTGGGGTATGGGGTAGGGTCAGGGTAGGGGTAGGGTGAGGTCGGATAGGGTAGGGGTAGGGTGGGGGTTGGGTAGGTGGGTAAGGGGTGGGGTAGGTTTGTGGTCTGGTAGGTAGGGTAGGGGTGGGGTCTGGTAGGTAGGGTAGTGGTAGGGTGGGGTCGGGTAGGGGTAAGGTGGGGTCAGGTAGGTGGGGTAAGGGTAGGGTGGGGGTCGGTTAGGTAGGGTAGGGGTGGGGTAGGTAAGGTAGGGGGTAGGGGTGGGGTAAGGGTAGGGTGGGGTCGGGATAGAAGGTGTAGGGTAGGGGTGGGGTAGGTGGGGTTGGGGTCAAGGTGGGGTCGGTAGGTAGGTGGGTTAGGGGTAACAATAGGGTAAGGGCAAGGGGTAAATTCGGAAACTGAAAAAGCTTAAAGTGTCGCTTAATTAATACATGAGGGTGTGGTAGGCTTAGTAAGCGGCACTTTAAGCACATATTTCGGTTAGTAAGCGGCTTTTTACTTCACCTGTCTTACTAACCTAACTGTGACTTTAGCAGAGTAAAGTAAACGCCTCCTTAACGTTATGCATTAAAAACACTCATGGACCGCCTGGACGCATGGACCTTCCTGCTTGCCTGCTGCCCGCTTGGTCGCTTGTGAGAATTGAAACTTGACAGTCTGATAGCGACAGGCGGCATGTGAGTGTACCAAAACCATCAGATCAGGAGGATTCTCGGGTCTTTACGGTGCAGAAGTTTAGTCTCGCATTAACTAATCGATCAGGTTATCCGATTGGGAAGGAAGCTGCAAAACTGCGCGAGAAGATAGATGCGGTGGAAGGGGATTTGAAGTCGCTGGGCCAGACCTTCCAATGCAAGGGACTGGAGATTATAACTCCAACACCGCCTGGTGATTGAAGTAGCTGTCACTGGAGGAGCTCTGCGTATTCGAATCCAATCTTTGGGGGTGGAAGAATACTTGTCACTCAATACTAAATCGTAATAAGGTTTGGGAACGAGTGTAGCATGAGTGCGGTTTTGGCGACGTCCAGGTCGGAATTGGAGTTGGATCGACCCAATCTGGAAGACTATCTCCCCACTGGATCTATCCATGAGCCTCTCGGCAAGCTTTGCCTGTATGTCTCTCCCCTTTCCACGAGTAGATACAGGCCGTTTATCATGTTCCTAACTTTCTTCTTGATGAATCATCTTTCAGTCGAGATTTACTGGACATTTCGCCTACTTTGACTGAGGCCGCTGGTGCTATTGTTGATGTGACTACCCCTCTCTTCCTAGTTTTGGCTTTAATTTTTAATTCGCCGTATCAGTTGTTTTGTTCCTTATCCTTATTTTATATTTTCTCCAGACGTTTACCATTCTTCTATTTTAATCAGCTTTGTTGCTTCGCGGTTAGTGTTTGGATTCAATATGTACTTATCCTTCTGCAGGATTCTTTTACCAGATGCTTCAAGTCTAATCCTCCCGAACCTTGGAACTGGAATATCTATTTATTTCCTCTGTGGTGTTTGGGTGTTGTAGTCAGATATGGACTTCTTTTCCCATTAAGGTTGGCTTTTTTCTTTCCCCCATTTCAGATTCAGTCAATCGTATTCTTTTTCGAACACGCCATTCCTTACTAGTAAACGTCTTATGATGTGGGTAATATTACTGAGGCTCTTCCTACATACTTGTATGTCATTACTCAAACTTAAATGATACATTCTCAACTGAATAATGCCAAAAAATGATCTTTGTATGTCATGCATACCACTGGCCTAATCTTATATTGCCTAATGGCTATCATTTTCAAAGCAGGTTTATTAATCAATATATATATTTGAACTGCTTATCCATATATTGGTTTAACCATTTAATCTCTTAGCACTTGGGGGTCTGAATTTTGAGTGCCATAATGTAAAATTATTTCTGTATTTCAAGATTCCTAGTCTGATATGTTTTAGCTGTAATACAGGGCAATTGTTTTGACAATAGGATGGATAATATTCGTGTCGTGCTATATTCCTGTGCATTTTCTCCTCAAGGGCCACAATAGGCTACAGAAAAAATTGGAGGTATGCATGGGTGACTGCTGCACTTTTTTATCATGTTTGCTCAAGCGTGATCATTGTCTGTAGCCTTAGTTATTTTTTTAAAATCGTCTACTTCGTTTGCTAAACAACATATAATATTTGGGAAATGTTTTTCTCAATAATTAATTGTGTTATGTCAATGGTCTTTATCTCAACTCTCTTGCCTTTGGTATTCAGCTTAATATCTTACCGACTTAATACCATACTGGTCTGTTTATTTGTTTTTCAGCGAGTTCTGGTAGAGTTGATATGCAGCTTCTTTGTAGCTTCATGGACTGGCGTAGTCAAATACCATGGTCCACGGCCTAGCATTCGTCCTAAACAGGTTAACCTTGCCTTATATGCCTCGTGTAACTTTCCACTATGCAAATGCAAAACAAGAACCTGAGTTTCTAGTGTTTCCAAAACAGGTTTTTGTCGCAAATCACACATCTATGATTGATTTCATCATTTTAGAACAGATGACTGCCTTTGCTGTCATCATGCAGAAACATCCTGGATGGGTTGGTAAGACTTTACTTCCCTTCATTCTAAAAATGTGAAATATTCCCTCAAATGACCCCCTACTTCAGGCATTTTTACTTCAAAGGGCTGCCACTTGCTCTCTTTTACTTGCAGTCATTGACACACAATTATATAATTAATACCTGGTGCTTATATGCAAACATAGCACTTCATTTGTATTTATAGTTTTAGTTTTAAGTCTTTTCTCATGCCCTGACTCGTTTCTTGTCTTTAGATACTTTATGGTCTAACAAGCGCTGTCACGTTACATGTCTATGAATATGCATATGCATATATAAAGGTGAATGTGACTATGTAAATATGATAGATACCAGGATCGAAGGAGGGGAATTGTTGTTTATTAGAAACGTAATTGATGAACACGAATATGAAACGATACAGGTTTAGGCACTTCGAGCAGCCTATCTCTCCCAGAATTCCCAGCCCAAGTCTAAAATTCTGCCTACCCCTTTCCTCCCTTCCTTCCATCTCTTATAGTACTCTATTCTAACGGGCCAGCCCATATTATATGACATGGCCCAGAATACTTATTTATACAATACCAAACTTATTCAATATCAATCTATCACTATTATTATCATTATTCTCTACAGCCCAGGGCCCTATCATATCTCCCCCCTTGAAAAACCACCTTGTCCTCAAGGTGGGTGATAGGACACAGCCTTGATCTTGAACTTCATCTTCATCCTGGAGCCTCTTCCTTCCCAATATCTCCCGGATTTCTGAACCAGGATATTCTGTACTTCGTCCCCCCACCTCACAATTTTTTCTGCAGCCAGTCGCAGTCTCTTCAGTGGCTGTAAAACACTCAATAATGACAAATGTTTCTTTGTGTTGTGCTTCTCCATGTGCAGCAGTTATATGTTTTGATAGTGTTGCAACCCGTCCTTCCAGCAGATTCCACCTGATTCCACCTGAGTGATTCATCATTATAGATGCTAAGCTTTCTCAATAGTCTCCTAGATATGCACCCTCCCATCACACATGGATATGCACTCTCCACCTCTTTGAATTCCGGATCCCATACATTTGCAGCTCCTTCAAGTAATCCTAAAGCTCGTATCACCGATACATAGTCATGAGAAAGAGATAAGTTGAACTCGTACATATCATCATATAACTGATTTTTAGCCTGGATATCCTGGAATTGTCCACTTCCCTCACCAAAGGATTGTACGACAGTTCTTTTAGGAATGAAACCGAGATAGAGGAAATCATTTGCCATACTCCTTGAAATTGTAACCTCAGAATCTCCAGCTGCCACCCTTTCCAAATAAGCTTGAAGCATGAGAGTTTTCAACTCATCATCTCTTGGCCATTTCAATTTCTGAAATAAGCTACCTTCCTTCATAACTATCAACAACTCCTTGGTTGAGCTGGGATGACACCTCAATAGAGAGTAGGTAGGATACTTGTTCAGTCTCTTTTCAGAGACTGCCATATCAGCAACCATCATCAACTCTTCTACCATTTGATACCCTCCAATATCAACAGGATAAGGCGTGGAAGTGTTAATCTGACATTGAACTGCAGTATCTATTTGAAATTGAACTTCACCGGGTTCACCATCAACACTTTTTGAAACCATTTGAACACTCATTTCTTTCTCTTCAATTTCAGCATTTCCCCCAAGGTAAGGGATGATTTCAACCTTCATTTCCTGAACAGCATCATATTGATCCAAGGCATCCTTTGCACAAAAGATATAAAGGTTGACTGCATCCTTTTGCCCTTGTCTATAACCTCTATCTTCAGCCTGTAGCACGTGTGTAGGTTTTCTTGGCAGTTCCAAAAGGACAAGGTCTTCTTCCAGAAGCATGGCCATACCAATGAAAATGCCCTTGAACATCTCTGAATCCTTAAATCTCATAGAAACGACCACCAATTCATAGCTCTCTTCATCTGATTCCTTTCCATTTGAGTTATTTTAAGAATTAGGGAATAGCATGGACACATTTTCATTTCCTTTCTTGTCAATAATCAATATTCCAGTCTTAGTAACGTTCTCGGGTACCACCTGAGGTGTTCTCATATCATCTTTGCATTTTCCAGCCAAAGGTATGAGAGCAAAAGAAATAGCAGAGCCCTGGAAAGTTCCTATCCTTCTGGAAGCAACATAATGAACATCAGGGATAGAAACTTGAGGCACTTCTGATGCCAGACGTTCTGACTGTCTTCCTTTTTTGCTAGGGTCACCAAGAACACCATCCGACAGAAGCCTTGGCTCCGAAGATCTACCATAGCTTTCCTCACCATTGAATAGCTGCACCTCTGCCTCTCTCCTGATTAGGCTAGGTCCTTGGTTCATGTATATCTTGCTTTTGTTGGCGGTCATCTGCGATCTTAGAACATTTCTTGTCAATTGCTTCGCACTTGGAGGCGAATTGGGATAAAGTGTTGGCGTTGGAAGAATGTCAACATTGCTCTGTTCTGAAGGTGTTGATGAAACCAACTTCAACTCAGATTTCAATTCAGGAGAAACTTGTGCCTGTTGAGAAGCTGTGTAAGAATAAGCAAGGGACTGAGAACTGGTGACTTTTGACTGCACCACAGTCTGCGAACTGGAGAACTCCGCTGGCGATAAAGCTAGTGCATTGTGAAACGCCGCTTGAGATGCCATCTGCGAGTTGGTAGAAGTGGTTCGCATCTGCGAACGGGAAGCTTCTCCTCTCGATCTGCTGTTTCGCGACATCAAACTGGAAGATGCTATTCCCGATTGCGAACTGGAAGAAAAGACTTGCGATGAAGATGAGTGAGGATAAACACTTCGCGAGGAAGATTTAGAACTGGAAGCCGATATTGACTTTTGCGAACTGAGAGGAACAGTTCGCAATTGATGACGATAATGAAATCGCGATCTCCTTCGCTCGCTCATAGCGTCCATCCTCCCAGTCAATCGTTCCATCAGCGTTTCCATCTTAGCTTCCAATCGCAGCAACTTTTCTTTCATCGCTACCTGACTGCGTTCAACCGCTTCAATCCTATGTTCCATTTTGGCCCTAGTCTGAACCATTCACAGCTTCGAACAAAAATTTTTCTGGATTGCGTCACTTTTCCGATTACGGTTGCGATTACCAGAAACGTAATGCTCTGATACCAATGATAGATACCAGGATCGAAGGAGGGGAATTGTTGTTTATTAGAAACGTAATTGATGATCAGGAATATGAAACGATACAGGTTTAGGCACTTCGAGCAGCCTATCTCTCCCAGAATTCCCAGCCCAAGTCTAAAATTCTGCCTACCCCTTTCCTCCCCTCCTTCCATCTCTTATAGTACTCTATTCTAACGGGCCAGCCCATATTATATGACATGTCCCAGAATACTTATTTATACAATACCAAACTTATTCAATATCAATCTATCACTATTATTATCATTATTCTCTACAGCCCAGGGCCCTATCAAAATATAGGGAACCTTATGACTTATTTTATGATCCGGGAAACCTCAAGGTATTGTGAAGATGGAAACTGAAATGAAGGTGTGATTTTTTATGGATTGGGCATTCATAAGATCAAAACTATTTCAATTTGGGTTTGTTAGAGGCCATAAAACTCCTTGAGATGAATCTCTCGCTTTTAGTATTATGTGGAATATATCCGAAGTCCAATATAATGCTAGTACAGTAGCACTACTACATAACTGAAGGACTAAACTAATGCATCACATAACTCACTGGTAATAGTAGATTACTTCTCACTTCCTTGGTAATCACACACCCTTCATTATTTCTTGACCTTCTTGTGCGCTGATTTGCTGCCACAATGACATATCACATTGAGTCTATCACTCCATCACTATAATCATTGTTTGCATTCCCTCAAAGTTATTAACAAAACAAAAGGAAAAAAAGAGAAGGGGAATTATGAGTAATATGTCATCCTTAATGTTTATTTGTGTGGCTATCACTGAGGATTTACATTTTACGGTAAACAAGATGCCTTAATTTTGCAGGATTTTTGCAGAGCACAATTTTAGAAGGTGTAGGATGCATTTGGTTTAATCGTTCAGAGGCTAAAGATCGTGAAATTGTTGCTAGGAAGTATGTGATAATATCTTGACCTTGAGTACCTTATTTTTTCAAAATGTGTATAGGGATAATCGGACATATGTGGCATTTCTGTTGGTGGTTTATTCATCTTATTATCATATCTATTTCAGGCTTAGGGAACACGTTGAAGGGGCTGATAATAATCCCCTTCTTATATTCCCAGAAGGAACTTGTGTGAATAACCACTACACTGTCATGTTCAAGAAGGCATTGCTCTTTTCTGCTGACATTTATAATCTCTCAATTTTAGTGTAGCATTTGCTTATCTTATTATAGTTAATAGGGTGCATTTGAGCTAGGCTGCACAGTTTGCCCGGTCGCAATAAAGTACAACAAAATCTTTGTTGATGCCTTCTGGAATAGTAAAAAGTAAGCTCTTAATGGTGCTTGCCCAGTCTGTTCCTTCTTTTGCTTATGAATTCACATTCAATTTTACGTGCTACTACTTCTGTCCCACTTGAATAGGAAAAATTTGGCTTTTTGGGCAAATATTTATCATGTGCCAACTAACACACATTAGAAACCCGCTTGCTGAAAATGGGCTTTCTAATATTTGCCCATGAGGCACGACATAAGAAGCATCTAATGAGTTTTTTAATGTATATATTTTCTTAAATATCCTTTATAATGATGTTAAATGTATATTTTTAGTGATAAGATGTTGATTTTGATTTCATGTTATTCATATAATGAAATTATCAAATTTTCTTGTGAAACTTGAAAATGAAGCACATTAGTTGCTTTTCATCATTTTCCCATTGGCACACATATAAAAACCTTTACTGGTATTTTTAACTTTCTTCAACTCTGAGAAAACTCATGCTTGCTTTTGATATTGTTCACAGGCAATCTTTCACTACACACCTGCTGCAATTGATGACCTCATGGGCTGTTGTATGCGATGTTTGGTACTTAGAGCCTCAAAATCTAAGGCCCGGTGAGACGCCAATTGAGTTCGCAGAGAGGTGAACATTTTGTTACCAGCCTACTCCATTGAGTCCATTCTTTTTTCCAGTAGTGATTGAAGTGTAGTGTATGACGCCCTTGATTTTCTTATGCATACCATCTCTTTTTTTAGGGTGAGGGACATCATATCTATTAGAGCAGGTGTTAAGAAGGTTCCTTGGGATGGATATTTAAAATATTCTCGCCCCAACCCAAAGCACCGAGAGCGGAAGTAAGTCTTTTACTTTATGCCTTTATGTGTTATGGAGTAGTGACTTTACATGTATTTTAATTTAAAATGAACTGTATACATGGTTTTAAAAACCTTCACCTAATCATTGGGGGAAGGAAAATTTTAAAATATACCTTCAATTTTCTTTTGAAACAATTAAACACAGAAATTCTAACATTTCTTTATGTCCGATATTTGAGAGGATATATATGTTGTTTAATAAGTTCATGGGTATAATTATTTTAATGTTACAATTTTCTGTTTAATTGGTCCAAAAAAGTTGTGGTGTACATATGTGAACTCACTTATAGTTCCAAGGTATATTAGATCCTTTTTACCTTGGTACTACCTTTGTAACGCTGGAATCTTCCCAAATGGAAAGTGGGTGAGATTATGAATAGTGATAGGGGATATAAATTAGTGAGGGTATTATGGGAAGGTGATAAAATAGTGTGGTGCAATGAAGGATAATCCAAAAAAAGTAGGTGTAATAGTGTATTATTTTTAAAATTATTAAGGGTATGATGGGAAGATTTAGAAATGGGAAGATTATTTAGTTACGGTTAAAAAAGGGAAGTGGGAAGATCTTTACATTACGGAGGTAGTATTAGGTTGCCTTGGGCTGACTATTTCTATTTTTGCTCAGGCAGCCTAGCTGCTTAACTCCAAGTGTGCCACTTTTTTTGCCTGTAGAGTTTTGTTAAATGTGGTCTTAGAGTCCTTAGATAGTCAGTAGGAATAGTGATGTCTTATGAAGTGCTAAGTTTATTTCTTGAATGAGAGATACGTCACACTCGAATAGAATGAGCATAAACTAAAGAGAAAATAACAACAATAACTTCCAAGCCTTATTCCCAAAAGATTTTGGGAACGGTTAACGTGAATTGATCCATAATATCAGAGCCAGAAAGAGAAACCGAAGGGAAACAATCAATTTTTAATGAGTTCACTCTATGTTCTTTGCAGGCAACAGAGTTTTGCAGATTCAATTCTCTGCCGCTTGGAAGAGAAGTAGATGTTTTCTGGCCTGTTGGGGGGATGTTGGAACGAATGAAATATTTATTCATGTTAAAATAATGAGGATAAATGATGAGTGCACAAATTCCATTGTTATTTTGGGAATAAATATTTTGCTTCGTTAACCATTGAGCAAATACGTGATAAATAGTTAACATAAATATCTTGTGTTTTAGTTTTTTGGTCAGGATACACATCGTGCCGTCTTATAAAGAAGAAAAAGATAACACCTTCAGCACCAGCCGCCAGGATTGTTAGGTTTTTCGCATTGATGTTCAACTTATCTCAAGAATATTGTCATTGTGAGCTAGTTTGGCAACTTCATGTTTGTTATGGTATAATTTGAAATACATAGCCAATGGCATGTATTAACTGAAGAAAAGTTTCTGAATGGAATGCAAAGTTAAAGAATTTTTGAGTGAAATGGGGTGTGACGTCCAAGTCTTTTGAAAATAGGGTGTAAAATCCAATATCACTCAAAAAATGAGGTGCAAAGTCAAATTCTCTTGATATTATTTTAGATTTTTAGTCCATTCAAAATTGTTGTTCACTTGTGTTTATTTGATAAAAAAGAGTTCCTAGACAACTATACAGGCATGGACCCGGTTCGTGCCACCCGGCCCGCTACTGTGCGGGACCGGATCGGCCCGGTGCTTCGGGTCTGAAACCGGTCCTTGACCCGGTTTGAAGGCCTAAGCGGGGGCGGGCTCGGGCTGCTTAAATAGGGACCCGGCCAGGCCCGGTTCGGGCCTCAAACTGTTTTCTTTTTTGTTTTTTAGTTTTTTTGGGCTTCCTTGGGTTGGGCTTGATGTTTTTTTTTGGGGGGGAGGGTGAGGGGGGTAGTTAGGAAAGAAAAAAAATTACAACCCGGCCAGGCCCGGCCCGAACCAGACCCGGTGGCAACCCGGGCCAGTCCCGGGCCTTCCCCCAATCACAAAAGGCCTGACCGGGTCTAGGCCCGGGCCCGACCCGGCTACATGCCTACAACTATGTAATAATTTTGCATTTGGGAAAATAATTATATATTTTGTTTTACATGCATAAATGTTATGGGTAGAGAATAGATGAGGTGTTTTTAATTGGATTAGTTTTTACGCATAATAAAGATCACAAAATTATTTTCAAAAGATGGCCTGGGACTGGTTTTCCTGTACCAAAAGTTCCGGTTGAATAGAAATTGGGAACAGATCTATGTACATTTGGATTTTTTTAATCTCAATGTGCACACGTACATCTCAGTTATATACTCTATTGTACAATGGGAAAATTCCCGAAATGGGATAAAAAATGTTTGTAAATTTCAAAATAGGAATATCATGTTTTTATTCTCAAAATAGGAGTAATTACTGCTAAGTTTGGAAAATACAATCATATGTAAAGTCTGGTATTGCCAAAACATGACAATAATTAGTCCTATTTTGGGAATAAAAACATAGCAATCATATTTTGGAATTTACAAACTTTTTTATTCCTATATAGGCTAATTTCTCTTGTATATTATCTTCGAATTTTTTTTGTCCATTCCAAAATTATCTTCTCTTTTCTTTTTTGACAAAGAATTTGTGATTCGCCACTTTTCATCACACAATATTCACTATCTTAATGTATGCGCCATTCATACTTATCACATATTTGTGAGTCCTTTATTAGGGACGGAGGGAGTATCACACATGTCTTTGAAAATGCCTAAAGTGCATGAACTTTAATTGACATTTGTGTAAATTAAATTAAGAGAGGGCCTCATGTCAAATAATAGGATTATGACATCAACAAGACAACAACGCAGGGGGAGTCTAAATTAGGGGTGGGCAAACGGGTCTTGGAACCGCGGTCCAGTCCGGGTAATGGCGGTTCGGGTCCAAAACGGGCCGGTTCCATTTTTTGTTTCCATAAAACGGTCCGGGTAGGGTCGGGTAATTTTTTTTAAGGAACCTGACCGGTTCCAAAATTAAAAAAATAACGGGTACCCAGCCCGGCGCGTTATATATATTGTATATTAATTTATTAATAGTTTTGTGATAATCGATTTTGAAATAGTTTTGTTTCCTGTGTGCTAGAAGTAGGATTTTAAATTGAGTTGCAGTAACATCCTTTTGTTTTCAAATTATTGATTAAATGTTTCATAAATATCTTTTTACTTTTTGTCGTTATTGAATTATTCCTATCTATGGAATTTAATTATTTATTAAAGATGATTTTGTTATATTTTTTATCATATTGTTATTAAAATATATAAATTGTGTTTACCACCCACCATGTATGTGTCAACTTTGACTAATATTGAAAATTTAATATATAAAAAATCAATCACTTAAATATGTAATGTTGGACAACATGTTTAAATACAAATGTTAGAAAATATGTATTTTGACTTTGTTGCATATTTTTGGAATTTCTTTAATTGTTTAAAACTTATATACAAGAAAATATGGAGTATTGGACTTTTCGCTTGTGTTATATATGCACCACTATGTTGTTATTTTGAAACTTACTAATGTCCTATATTATTGATTATTGATTTTTGAAACTTCGTGAATTTTTACTAATTTCAAGACATGAGAATAGAAACCATAAAACCCGGATCGACCCGTTTCAAATGGGCCGGGTAATTTCCGGTTCCTATTTTGAAAATTGTAATGCACAGACCGGACTGAATCGTACAATGAAACCGGCGGTTCCATTTTATTTTGCATTACCCGCCCCCGACCCGGCCCATACACAGCGCTAGTCTAAATGGAGCCTGCTATACAAATTTGAGGATATACAATCATGGATAAAGAAGCTATTTTAGAATATGTCCTGAAAAATGTAAGAATGGTAATCCCTGGTGGTGTGATCAGCCTGAAGTCCAACAGAAAGGCGGTTGGTAAAAAGACCATAAATTGAGATGAAGAGAAACAAGAATGACGCATCATGCCATCATCCCTCTAAAATAAGTCCAGGATATTGCACTTTAGTGGCAAAAGCATGCTTACATGGACACTCCTTAAAGCTCTACGTAAAATCATAAATCTGGTCAAAGATTATGGTTTTGTTTTCTATCCTGAGAAATGCTAGGGGTACCCCATTTTGTGTACCCCATTCGCACACACTATATGTCTTGAGTAGTATGTATACAGACAACCTTGTAGTTCCGAATAGAGTTGTCTGCGTAGACAGACCGTGTGTTCAAATGTGGTACACAAAATGGAGTACCCCTAGCATTTCTGTTTTATCATTAGGTGCGATCCTACGCATATACAATAATACAACCTATAAACACACTAAAAAACTTGTAACCACTTCTCCTTTAGCCACTCTAACCAATTCAATACTCCGTGATCCTCTCCTTGGTGAGACATATTCCGCTCATTAGTTTCAGAACCAACAATAGGATTTAGATTCTCTCTATGATCTTTGGGATCAGATTCCTTTAAACGATTATTACCCGATTTAACTGTTATTCTCACTGGCCTGCCAAGCGTTGACTTATCCTCCATTTTTGCTATTTCAAGAGCCCTTTGGCATACTGGATACCCTTGATCATCCCAAGAATCCATGATGATGCCAGAGCCAAGACAGGTCATCCCATCATAGAAAGCAGCAAACTGACCTGCTGCCAGCCCTTGGTCATCTTGAGACAGCTGGACAACGCCAACTATTTTACCATTGTTGTCAACTTCCATTGCCAAACTACAGTTGTAGAGAGTGGGGCCATGGCGAACCTATAAAATTGTTGCTATAAATTGAAGAATTTAATGTATAAATGATCTAATATTGACATGTCAAGTGATGTTATCAACCACTAGTGATTGATTGTTTCCACAAGATACGAGACAGCACATAAAGCATGTAATTTGCCTTCTTTTTTATTTTCTCTTTTGTATATTCATCTTTATTACATCTTTTCTAACTTTGGTTTCTTTTTATCTTACCTTATCTTTTTTATCCTTTTTTAACTCTCAATCATATATCTATTCATGTTAGCCAACCCCAAACTCTTTTGGGACTTCAGGCTTGGATGTTGTTGTTTGTATCAGCTACAAGTTATGTCCAAATATAGCGAAAACATCCAAGCCATCCAAGCCTTACAGTTTATATCCAACACTGGTAAAAAGTTCAAATGGTATCTTACGTATTGGTAAGAGGCATTTTATTCTAAAAATCTGCCTAGTTGGTGTGATTAGTTGGCGCCTAGGCGGCCCCAAGTGCAGAGGACTAATCGGTCTAGTCGGTTAAAAAATCGGCCTAGTCAGTGCCTAGCCAGTGCCTACGCGCTATGCGCCCCTCAACTGCCCGACTAGCGCCTTGCGAGTTTTAAAACAATGGTAAGATGTATTTACTAAATGAAGTAAATTAGTACTCTTAAGTACATTTACTGTCTCATTAGAAATTCCGGCCAGAACAATCTGATCTTACAACCTGAGCTTCACATCCTTTCTCTAAAAAGTTATGTGTAATTAATTAATTAGAAAGTTATCGCAACCAACTATCAAATCAAATGATTTTGACAAACCTTTGCTTCATTCAGTAATTGGGGTGCCAAAATGCATCAATACCACCACTTATGGTACAATTTATACTATTTACCTGTCAGGCTAGTACTTGTTTGAGTGCGGCAGCTGAAAAAGATATTGTAAAAGTTGTTTTTTGTGGTTGAAATGAAAGGGAATGACACTTCAATATTCACTTAGATACTAGATATACGGAGTATAAATTTAGCTAAAAAAATATGTTGTTCATATTAGACACTAGTAGCCTCAGCCAATTAAATACTTAAGGATAGTTGAGAAGTAAAATACCGGGCGAGGCAGATTCAACACAAAAATTTCATGCATGAGCTTTTCTTCTAATAATGATCGAGAATTTGACAAGTCTGATCAAATAAAGAGAATGAAAAAAAGAAGATGGGGTGATCAAAGAACCCAAGGCATGTCTAGCTCAGAGAAAAGAACCTGCGTACCTTGCATTGAAGTTGATTTGCATGTGCAGGATAGCTCCCACTTAGCCATTTCAGCGATCCAACACGAAATATGCGTCTTTTCTTATCAGCCGAGAAGTAGTTTCTTGACACAAACACTACATTATTCTTACTGTCTTTCTCCACGACGTACCTGTATTCAATACAAAGATGAAAATGCAGAGATGATCAAACATAGCAGGCTATATGCCTACAAGTTTACTGCGTCAAGTCAAATAAAATAAAAATGAAAGCACTCCCTAGATGACATATTATTTGTTTTCCTATGATGGGTCAATTACTCATGTTTCCTTTTATTAGCTAGTGTGTTAATTAATGTAGGTGACAATAATCCATAGAGATGATTGAATCTAAGTAGTTAAATCGGTACTCGGTGGCTACTCAGTCAAGAGACGAGTAGCAAGTAGAACCAATTACTTAGGATTACTAGGTCTTATACTCGATTTGTACAAAAAATGCCAAATTTTTAGTAAAAGTATAATAAGTGTTACACATAAAGAAGATAATAATAATCCAAATTAAAAGTTTTACTGCGG